CAAAAAAAAAAAAAAAAAAAAAAGCTGTTGTTTCTATTTCTCCACTCTTTTTTGAGGAACTTTTGAATCTTTAAATTGAATCCAAGCTCTTCAGCGAGAGTTATTGGATGGCTAGAAGGATGGAGTTGGGGTTCCCGAAGTCTGCTTCATACAGTCTTCGAGAACAAGCTGCTAGAACGATTCTACGCAATGTAAGGTCACAAGGGCACTCATACGTTGAGCTGCGAGAAGATGGGAAAAGGTTTATTTTCTTCTGCACTTTGTGTCTTGCACCATGTTATAGTGATTCAGTGCTCTTTAACCACCTGAAGGGCACTCTTCACACTGAAAGACTGTCTGCTGCTAAGCTCACACTCTTAGGACCAAATCCGTGGCCTTTTGATGATGGTGTTCTTTTCTTCCATAAGCCAGTTGAAGGAGATAACCAGGTTCGGAGTTTAAATGACAATCAGGAAAGGTTGTTGGAGTATCACAACAATGATAACAATCTTGCTATTGTCAGCTATGTTGATCATTCTAAAGGAAATGGCAATGGCCATGGTGAATTTAATGGAAATGTGCGGAACGTGGAAGATTGTTCCTTCGAGAATTTGGACGACAGTGGAGACAATGGTCCTTTGGTGATTCCTGGTGTACTGATTAAGGATGAAATTTCTGATATAAGGGTGAGGGAGTTGGGTTATGGACAAATTGCTGCAAGGTTTACTGAGAAGGATGGGATCCTATGTGGGATTAGCAGAATATGGTGTGAATGGCTGGGAAAAGTAAATGCCGGGCTCGAGAATAAGGTCAAAGTTCCTGTACATGACTTTGCTATTGTTACTTTCACTTACAATGTTGATTTAGGTAGAAAGGGCTTGCTCGATGATGTCAAGTTATTGCTCTCGTCAAGTACCGGAGCTGAACCAGAGACTGATGAGAACTCTAGAGTGAAACGAAAGAAATGTTTCTCTGATTCTGAGGATGTTAGTCAGTCTATGAGCCATCAATATGATTCGTCAGGTGAAGATTCTTCAGCTTCTAATTGTGTCATGTCGTCACTGTTGTTGGATAGATACGATGATCGAATTTTGAATACAACAGTCATGTTGAACAAGTCAGTAAAGCGTGAGCTGAAAAGGCAACAGCGTTTAGCTTCAGAGCGGATGTGTGATATCTGTCAACAGAAGATACTTACTCATAAAGATGTAGCAACACTCTTGAACATGAAAACTGGAAGACTTGCCTGCAGTAGTAGAAATGTTAATGGGGTAATGTCAGTTCTTTCTTTTTCAGAATTTGTGATATGATTGTCAATTATGATGCGTATATTGGTACGGGCTTAGGCGTTCATTTATTTACGACATTTGCTGATTTAGGTGTTTCATGTATTTCATACCTCTTGCCTTATACACTGGATACTTCTCTGTGAGTATGAGATGAGTGTGAAGAATCTTGGTGGTTCAAAAGTTAGACGGAGGTACAGGAGAAAGAACAAGACTAAGGGCAACAAATACAGCAAGAACGGCGAAACGAGACAAATAAAAACTCAAATTGATTCTGTTTTCTGCCCTGCTTGTCAAGGTACCGGTATAATTGTTGATGGGGATGACCTAGAGAAACCAACTATCCCTCTTTCTGAGGTACGTGCAACATGAAATAAGCTTTTGTTAAAATACATTCTTATTCCCGTCGGTTCTTATGTTCACGAGTCATGATCGTTTGGTTTAATTGGTCGGGTACTAACATGTTAGTAACATGTTCATTATATGATATTAGATTTACGAATGGTTGAAATTATCTTCATATATCACTTGGTTCTTATGTTCACGATTCATTTCATGATTATTCAAATTAACCAACTTAATTAAGTACTGGAGTAATATTTTAAGTTACTATGCTACTTTGTCAATATAAAGTATAAATTGCAAGTAAAGCAAGCAGAGCTTCTTAATTAAGCTTGAAGGGTTGGCAAAGGTAATCAAAAGCCGTAGTCTTTAACCTTTTATGTAGCGTATAGATGTCATCTTGGGTAGCATTTTGGCCTGGCAAATCAGTGTGAAATGCATTCTCATCCTTTATTATGATCTTTAAATGAGCTTGTTTAGAAAAGATTGACTATCATTTATAAGCTTGTTCTAGGGAGTTTCCATCTAAGAAAATGTCATGGACGACATGTTTCTGATATAATAGAGCGAGCCGAAGTTATTGTGTGAGATCCTACATCGGTTGGAGAGGGGAATGAAGCATTCCTTATAAGGATGTGGAAATCTCTCCCTAGTAGACGTGTTTTAAAACCTTGAGGGAAGCCCGGAAGGGAAAGCCCAAAGAGTACAATATCTGCTAGCAGTGGGAGCCTTTGGCTGTTACAAATGGTATCAGAGTCAGACACTGGGCTCTCAAGGAGAGTGGATTGTGAGATCTCACCTCGGTTGGAGAGGGGAACGGAACATTCCTTATGAGGGTGTGGAAACCTCTCCCTAGTGGATGCGTTTTAAAACCTCGAGGGAAAGTCCAAAGAGGACAATATCTACTAGTAGCGGGCTTGGGGTTGGGCTTGGGCAGTTACATATTGTCTTTAAAGGAAAGATACCTTCATTACCTGCTGTGTAACCATTAACAATCACCTCTTTCTGTTCGGCTATAGATCTTTAAATACAAAATAAAGGTGAGCGATGCCCGAAGAGCATGGATGAAAAGCCCTGAGGTTCTGCAGAATTGTTCGACAGGTTTCCATTTCCCTTACCAATCTGAAGAAACTCTACAGGTGAAAACCAAAGCAGTCTGTCTAGAAACTGCTCCCATTTCTCATATCGGTTCCTGAATTTTATCGACTTGATTGCAGGAAAATATGAAGCATCTCAAGTTGGTGCATTTTTATGGAGCTTTTGTATAGGAAGTACCATCAAAATCGTCGAGGTCGGAACAGTAGTAGGCTTCGCGTACAGTAGGTCTTACTTTCTTCATAGCTGCTGGACAAACTTTTGTTGAACATTGTGATGGTCATTGTAAATGAAAGGTCCACAAGTCTCGTAAATAATATGAAGGTGGAAGGGCGTGGAGTATCTTTATATATAGATTGGTTCTTCACCGTTCTGCTCTCTGTTGGTCAGACTTCATTGTATGTATATTACTGGATCACATCAAATCAGGCATGCCAATGTAGAAGAATTTAATGCTTATTTGTCCATGATTTGAGGATTTGAGAGCTTGAGTGACGAGGGACGTCTCTAACTAAACATTGGCTGGAGAGGGAACTAAACATTCCTTGTATGAGTGTGAAAATCTTAAGCTTCGATAAATCTGCTAGCTGTGGATTGACGCACTATTTTCTAATTTAATTTCTAAAAATTATATATGTTATTATTTTGTAGGAGACGGAAAGGGAATGTGGAAAAAGACAGAAAGGGACATCTGATCACCTCTTTCGAAGGGGCAAAAGCTGGGGGCATTTTAGAGATCAGTAATGAGCGGTCATTTCTTCTTTGGAGACATTATTGGCATGTGTGGTCATTTCTTATTTATTTTTTTTAATTATTAATATATATATATATATATATATATGTATATATGTATGTTTGATAATCAATTTTGGTTCCTTTAAATTTTTAGATTAAAAATATAAAAATATAAAAAATTGAAGACGAAAGACAAAAAGTTATCAAGCTAATCCTACATTGGCTAAAATTAACAACCTACCGAACCTTTATAGAAAGGGTTTTGCAAAAGTGTTCTTAAATTAGTAATTCCTTCCCAATCACACTTTACCATGGGATGACCATGTATATCTATAACATTTCAACCACACGGCTATCATGAATCACCTGTTTTGGTTCGTTACATATAGTTGTCAACTTTACAGTTTTAAAACGGGTCTACTAAGGATCACAATCCTGCTTTGGCTCGTCACATATCGCTGTCAGTCTCATGGTTTTAAAGCGTGTCTACTAGGGATCATGTTTTGTTACAAATGGTATCAAAGCCAGACAGTAGCGGTGTGCCAGCGTCGGAAGTGGATTGTGAGATCCTACGTTGGTTAGGGAGGGGAACGAAACATTTCTTATAAAGGTGTAGAACCCTCTCTCACTTGAAGAAAACCCTTAGAGGAAAATTTCAAATGGCGAACGTAAGTTGATAAACAAACGCACGGGCCACCAAATCCGGTCCGATTCCACTCAATTGGAGCTTCAAAACATGGTGAGTAGACGTGTTATGTGGAAGATGGGTCACAAATGCAGCAACTTGCCGATTGCTTACGAAATGTCCAAATCAAAGCAATGTGAATCCATTCATGATTACACTAAGCTCGTATTGACATGTTATATATCTATATATATGCATCCAATGGCTAGAAATGATCTAAAGCGAGCGGCTTAGAATAATAAAAGACACAACACTAAGCAACAAAACAGGAAGAAACAGATTCTGCTCAGCGACTCATCGGCCTGCATTATGTGCCTCCTCAGCCTTACACTACTATTGCTTACATGACCATATGAATTAGGATAAGTATAAAGGTTTGACGTCGTGTTTCCAAACGTTCTTGTGTAAACTGCGTCACCGAACATTCCGATCACTGGGTGGATAATGTTCGTTGTAATACTGCTCGAGCTAAGCATCGATGAAGCGATGTAATCGTCGTGTGACTGAGAATAGTTGTGATGATGAAGTTGAGCGCTTGGAGATGCTGGTGGCTCTCCCCCACAGGCAGGACCAAGAGGCCGGCGTGGGATGGCTGGACCAAGATTTGATGGTGGTTTAGTTTTGGAGGGAGGTGTAGTCTGAAATTTGCCGTAAAGTGGGACGAGCGTGGCGTGGGAGACCTCGGCCTTGCAAACGGGACATCGACATTCCTCTTGCTGGCATTGTTGCTGTGAGGACAAGCTCTTGTAATGGATCCATTTGTAAATGCAGGGCCAACAGAAGAGATGGCCACAAAGTGTTACAACAGGATCTTGAACCGAGTCTAGGCATATGTTGCATTCAAAGCCATGGGATACTCCTTCATCAGCCTCTGGAACAAGGTACAGCTGCTCCATGTCTTGTTTTCATGTCCAGAAAACAATGTCAGAACTCAGAAGAACAAGAAGACAACAAAATTCCAATACAAGATTAATGAAATCTTGCAGAATTTGATCAGAAAATCACACAGAAACAGACAAAAACACACAGGAATTTGGATAAGATGAAGCTATGAAGACACGCCGAACTAGGCACTCATCAATAAACCAAAAACATCCCATCCATTGCAGCAGTGATAAGATGCCAAACTATCATCCTAATCCATTGGTTCCTGAGCTCATAGATTATTGTAATCTGAAGGGCCAGTTCTTGAACATTCTTTCACGAAACCTCCAACTGGGAGATGATGTGGATGATTTCTGAAGTTCCCATAAATATCAGAATACGATGATCTTGACAGACCCAGATGATTCAATTGATTTAATTAAGAAATTCAAGCATCTATAAGCTTTCTTTTGAAGCAGATAAACTCATATGCAAGCAAACCACTTGAAAGTGAAAAGAATCATCAGTCTATTACTTGGGAAACAGATCCGAAAGGCATAATCATGCGTAGAAGAAATCAAAAAGGCATCAATCCCAACAATTAACAAAAGTGAATTCAAGCCCAAGTTACAATTAATAAAACCATGATGAACTTCCGATTTAAAGAGCCAATAAGAACACCCAGAAAACAAGATTATCGATGTTTATCACTTGAGAAAAGTTCTATAGGCGTATGATCTTTGGGAAATAAGAACACCCAGAAAACAAAATGATTGAATGAAGACATCACCACGCTCCGCCACACAAAACAGAGTAAAAACAGAGCACGAAAAATTGCCTACTGTTGAACAAATAGAACAGTTTCCAGAAAACAAAGAAAACCCAATAAAAATCCATCCAGGAGAACGGGGTTGGAGTTGGAAGCGACGAAAATCAACTCAAAAACAAAGAACCCCATCTCCATTAGAGAAACCTAAACCAAGAACCTGAAGAACAAAAACCCCATCTCCATTAGCAAACAGATCAAAAAAGACCATTCCCCTGAGAAACACAACCCCATCTAGAAGTAACACACAGAGAGAAAAGGGCGAAACAGAAACGTACCGAAACCGAATCGCGGGATGAGTAAGAAGCTTAGTTGAAAAGGGCTAAATGGGCGTAAAATTAAGAACAGAGTGATGGTGAGTTTTGAAGGGTGTTTATATAGGGACGAGAAAAGGGGAGAGCGAAGGTATCTATAATTCTACGGAAATAGAAAAAGGAAGGGAAAGGGAAGAGGATGGGACGATGACGATGCGGCGTCTCAGCTTAATGCAAATAACTGAATACGACAAAAAAAAAACATTGGTATCCTTTCAACCTCTGCTATCTCTTCAATCAAATCCCATTTTTTTCTCTAATAAACTTTCTATTTTCATCATGGTTAACCTTTTTTTTATATATATATTTTATTAATTTTGAGATATTTTTCGTTGAAGATATTTTAGACTACCAACAATTAAGCAATTCAGATTATCAAATATTGAGTCGGGTTAGATTTCTTTTAATTAGGGTTTGATAGACACGTGAAATCTCTCTCCAATGAACTGCATTTTAAAAACAATGAAATTGATTCGGATAAGAGCCAGACCACGAGCAGTGTGCCAATGAAGATGCTCTCCCAACTTTAGGTAAAAATAATAATATTTCGCTTTTAATTTATAAAAAATATTTTAAATATATAAATAAAAGTATTTAAAGTTAAAAAAATTACACGTCCAGATAATATTAAAATATGTGGAAGAAAAAAATAGTTTTAACGTTTAAATTTGTCAACTTCCAATTTTCAATTCTATATAATTATACCTCGAACTTAGTTAAATGTTACAATAATAACCTTAAACTTTAAGAAATTTGCAATTTTAATTTTTTTTTTTTAATAACTTCTCTTAAAAAATATTGCTAAAATAAAAAGAAAAGAAAAGCTTATGTTATGCATTCAATGCGTTATGAAATATCTATGTATATAAATAAAACAAGTAGCAGCCAATTGGCTATCCACTTGACTTGTAATATTTTAAATATTAAACCATATTGTTATTTTTAATTTTTGTTTTATAATATGGTCGGAATCTAATTCCATTGCTTTAATTAAATTAATTAGGTAAATATAGATGCAGTGTGGTGGTCCGTCCCTTTGATTTGATACTCACCTAATTAATAAATTCCATTAATAAAATACCAAAAACATTTTCCTCCCAACCAACCATATTCATAAATTGGGAGTAGGAAACCCTAATAACTCCTTTTCTTTTTCTTTTTAAATGTCAACGTCTAATTAATTCATTCATTAAAAAAAAACCTTCGAATTTATTTTTATTTTATTTATAAATCATGCATTTAAATTAAAATAATAGTAATAATAATAATAAATGGATCGTGTATCAATTTTCACCACAAAATTTGTGCCAGACTTCACAAAAATGATATTGTCCTCTTCGGCCTTTCCCTTACAGTTCTAAAACGCACGAAGGTTTCCATACACTTATAAAGGGTATTTTGTTATCCTCTCCAACCAATGTGGGACATCACACCAACCAATGTGGGACATCACAATCTACCCCCCCTTCGGGACCCAGTGTCCTTACTGGCACACTGTCTCGTGTCTACCCCCTTTGGGGAACAGCCTCCTCGCTGACACATAGTCAGGTGTTTGGCTCTGATACCATTTGTAACGACCCAGATCCATCACACGTCCTCACCGATTTAAAATGCGTCTACGAGAGAGAGGTTTCACACCCTTATAAGGAATGTTTCGTTCCTCTCTCCAACCGATGTGGGTTCTCACAATCCATCCCCTTGGGGCCAGCGTCCTCGCTGCATACCATCTTTGGCTCTAATGCTATTTGTAATGGCCTAAGCCCACCGAACAGATATTGTTCGGTTTAGTTCATTACGTATCGTCACCCGCCTCACGATTTTAAATATGTCTACTAGGAAGAGTTTTTCACACCTTTATAAAAAAATGTTTTGTTTCTCTCTCCAATTAATGTAGGATCTCGAAAGTTGAGTCTCGAACATATTCGAGGTCTCGTCCTTATCTCCTTTGCCTATGACTCTTAGAATAGACATCCCATCTTATCAATTCGGAGGTATAGGAACATTTTAACGCTAACTTTAATTTATTTAAAAAAAAAAAACCTCCAATTTTATTTTTATTTTATTTATAAAGCATGCATTTAAATTAAAATAATAGTAATAATAATAATAAATAATAATATCCTGTATCAATTTTCACCACAAAATTTGTATTTTTCATCAATTTAAATTAAATTGATGTAGAGCTGAAATTGTCACAAGACTTCACAAAAATGATATCATGTGATTAATATTCAAGGTCAACTGTTGGACAAAAATTTTGAAAGTCAACCTATCTTTCATGTTGCATTTCTCTCGAGTCCCATTTGACAAAATTTAACGTGTTTTAGGTTCAAGGGTATAATTGACTTTTTTCTCTTAAAATAACCCTATGGTTTTTTTTAAGTGTCTTCTAATATATTAAATAAGAAACCTTTCTACCGCTGCGAATAAATTATGAGAATAAGCAAACATAATTTTTAAAAGTAAAAAAGTAAACTAAATATTTATCAAATGAAATAGATATAAATTATTTCAAAAGACGTTGTATTTGTAAGAAAATAATATTATCGTTTACTTCTCATTTAGTACAATCCCATGTGGGACGAGAATTTATGAACGTCCAATGAGTAGATGCATAATCCGCTAAAACCATGTCAATAATTTTTTTTTTTTTTTGCGTGAACTAAATTAAATGTCGAAGAAAATATCATGCATTAAATTGAATTAAACAAAAAAACAAGTGGTGCCAAATATATAATAAGGACTAGTATAAATACTTCCACAAATATTATATTCCTACCACAACACTTTAATTATTTTATATATAAAAATAAATAAATATTTGTATAGATTAAATTTAGCGTTGACATTTGACCCCAAAACCCCGTCACGTTATCTTGTTCATTGTAATTGGTCTCACGGTCGGCCTACCATGCAAGTAAATCCTCACCGTTCATTTGCTAGAGAAGTCGACAAGTTCAACGGTTGAGAATGGACGGAAACTCCACGTCATGTCCACCATGTATGACATCAATTAACAATATAAAATTCCTAAACAACAGTCGCATACGTGGCACGCAAGTATTCGATCGAACAAAACGGCTTCGAACGACCGACACGTATGTAAATCAACAAATATTTATTTAATTAATTAGAGGTATTTATTTTATCTAAAATTTTTCTCTGAAGCATATTTTTCTAGTACGTATCACCACTAACTTGAGCTTATCCACAAATTATTATCATATTGGTCTCCATGTGGGCAGAACAATATTTGACTTATAAAAATAAATATAATTAAATAATTAAATAATTAATTTTAACTTTATATAAATATGACCCTTCATGGATTTTTAATGACTTAAGGTTGCATAATTATTTGATAACTTATCGAGTTATTAAAGTTGACATGAACTGTACTTAACCTTTTTATAACTTCAAGATTAAAATCAAACCTTTTATATTAAACATAGAATTAAATATTATTTTTATAAGACGCTAAATTTTAAATTATTTATCAAATAAATTAGGGAATAAGTAAAAAATGTAATAAATAATGAGTTGGAGGCTCGGGTACTTATTAAACATGAAATTAAATTTATTTTAAACTAAGATATGTAATTAAAAAAAATGTAAGCATATGACAAAAATAGGATAGCTTTTTATTATTATAATTAAAAAAAAAAAAAGCACAGCACTCTAATTAAAGATTGAAATATATAAATAAAATAAAATATTTAATTGAATGAAAATAGAAATATAGAATAAATAGTGTGAAGTATGGAGACGGGTGGAGCCGTGAGGGAGAGGGAAGGAATGAAAATGAAAAGCTTGTCCCACATCGGTAATATGTGATAGTTGAAAGCCATCGTTCTCTATAAATTTACATTCCCCGCCCGCGGTCGTTGTAGTCTCTGGGCGCTAAAGTGGTGAATGTGGGTATCTGACATGCGCACTGACAATAGGGCCTGACTGAGGTGAGTTTGTTTACTTCACGACAATTGTCGATAATATCAATTTTATCGGTGGAAAATTTATTTTTCGCTTATTTGGCCGACATTTATTACACACTATTAATTAATGCCTGTAATAATGTATTTAGAATTTAATTATAAGAAACAAAAAGCATTGGTTGGCGTCTCCAAAAACTTTTAAGATGTTTATATAATTTAAAAAGCAAATTAAATTTATTACTTTAAACAACTTGACGGAAGGTGAAGGAAAAAAAAAACAGTTGTCATAGCAAATTAGTTTGATTTTACTTTCAAGTAATAGAATTTCTAAAATTGAATTTCATGTGTAAATGCCTTGTATTTTAGGGAATTTTAAATTAAATTCAAATCGAAAAAATAAAATTATAAAATTATAGGGTGATAAAAAAAAACGAGTATAAATTAATTATAAGTTTATTTATTTTTCCAATTTCTTAAATAATAATAATATTGCTTCTTCTAGAATCTTCCACATTCAATTGCTCTCCGTCTCGTGCGTTTCCAAACTAAAACCCAGATGGATTCCATCGCCAGAAAACTCGACGGTCACAGCTCGAGCTACGCTTCCATCTCTGAACCAAGAGAAGCTCCGATCAGGTTGCAGGAGTGGAGGGAAAGTATTGATGCTCAAATCAGTTATGGTGGTAATGGGGCAAGCTTCAGGTGTGTCACGAGCCATTGAATATGTTTTTCGGCTCTTTTCCTTTGTTACGTTTTGGTTGCTACTGCATCGGGTTCTGATAAATCTTGTCCTAAATATTTGTTTCTGTCTCTTGCTAGCAATTCATTGAACATTGTTAATGGAGTAAACGCTAACTTGTATTAAGAAATTGTAGTTTGTCCCCATTTTCTTCCAGTTGGCGAAACTTTAATTTAATCGTCATTAGACTGTGGGAGCAGTGCCCTTAGTTGTGGTAGAATTACTTATAGGAGCGTTGACGCCAATTGAGCAGTAATCCAGACTTGGCAACTTGTCTAAGTAAGTTCTCAGGGGGATTGGGCGTTGGGAGTTTAAGAAACATAATGACGGATGGAATTGAATGTCCTATGGATACATATTATTAGAAGTATGGTTTAGATACTCTGTTCAACCCTCCAAATAGCAGCTGCTAGAAAATGCTGTGGGCATTGGAATGGATTGACATTACTAAAACCAATGGAAAATGGATCAGTTTTGAACTTAGCAATGTGAGAAGACTTTTGAACTAAAGATTATGCATTGTCCAACGCAAAAGGCAAGTTGGTCAGAGATGTTCAGCTCAGTTTTGCCTCAAGCTGGGAGCTTGTCTTTGTAAGCCGGAATGATAATCAATCTTCCTGAATTTTGAAAACTCGGGAAATCTTCTTGTAAATCTGTTAGCAGATATTCCATCACATGTCTGCTAAAAGGATGTCAATCACATCTGTTAAAGTTTATATAATTTTGAAAACAGATTTGTTGGTAAATATTGTTTGCTTTGGCTCGTTACGTATCACCATCAGTCTCACGATTTTAAAACACGTTTGGTAGGAAGAGATTGTTTACTATATCGACGATATGTAATGTGCCAAAGCGGACAATGTCTGTTAGCGGTGGGCTTGGACATTTCAGATTCTGTCCACATAAGCAATTTAAGAACAGCCTCCTTACTTTTAGATGGCACTGACCAGCGGAAATTCCATATGCTTTGTTGGCTTTTATATTCAAATTGCCCAATCACTACAGTGAAATGGTCCCTTGGGATGGACATTCATAATGTCATTTTGGTCCTTGCTCTAGGAGGCCATGAAATCAATAAAAGAAAAACTTCATTTGGTATGGACTTTCATAATGTTATTTTGGTTTTTTGTTCAAATTTGGTGTGCTTCATTGATAGCTGTTCCATTATGTGGCGTTTAATATTCATACTGTGCTGGACCAAACGTTTGGAAACCACTCTAAAACTATGTTCTGATGATTGTTGCAATTATGCAGAAACAATCCAAATCGGCCTGGGGGGAGAATCTTCCATGCATACGATTGGCTACTGGCTCCTTTGGAGGCATAAACTCTGGTAAAGCCCGTTTCCAATTTAAAATTGGGTAATGAGATATTTGGGCTTCCCCTTTTTAGGCTTTTTTAGGCTTTGTTTCTAGGGGGAGGTTTCCACGCCCTTATAAGGAATGTTTCATTTTTTCTCTCCAACCAACGTGGGATTTCACAATTCACCCCATTTGTGGTCCAACGTCTTTGTTGGCACACCGCCCAGACAGCTCAGTGTTTGGCTCTGATATCTTTTATAATAGCTCAAGTTCACCTCTGATATCTTTTATAATAGCTCAAGTTCACTGCTAGCAAATATTATCTTATTTGGGTTTTCCTTTTTGGATTTTCTCTCAAAGTTTTAAAACGTGTCTGCTAGGGTGAGGTTTCCACGTCCTTTTCATTCTACTCTTCAACCAATATGGGATCTCACATATTTCGAGTCTAAAGAAAAAACAGAATTCTTGTATAGAACATCGTCTTTATGAGCTTGTATGAGCTTGTCTGAATGTGAAGGTCTCAACCATAATGGGATCACACCTGCACTGCTGCAGCAGCTGCAAGCCTTCTCTTCGAGCTTCAACTCGTTTCGAAGTTGAGTTCAGTTGAATTAGAAAATCAGGGTGAAGCATTGGAAGATATTCTGCAAACACTATTAGAAGCTCTCACCACTTGACCTATTTGGATGGGGCGGTCCATGAAATATAAAGCAAGACATGCAAGCAGCTTTTGCTAATGGAGGACGCTCCATGGAACCCCTGAGGTGAAAGTTTTCAATTCTTAGGTATTTAAATCTCGTCCTTATAGTTTTAGAATTATATCAAAACATCAATGTTATAGTTTGTTGACATTTGACCATACATTAATTTACTGGAGTTTAAATGAACTAAATTCCAAAGTACACCTGAAGATGAAAGTTTGAATCTCGGACTTCAAAGAAATGAATAGGTGCTTAACCGTGCAGGGGACAACGAATTGGATATCCATAAGTTCTGGACATTTGTGAGTACCTTTCTGTAAGTGGAGGATCTTGATGTTGTTTAATTGAAATGAGGAATTTTCTTATCATTTCCACATTGGAATTCCAACTTCAAATCAAACCGATAGGATTGGAGTTCTTAGGTAAATGGGGTTTGTATCTTTGTTGAAAATAAGGTCTTTTCTTTTGCCCATTCAAAAGAAAAGCTCTTTTTTTTCCCATCTTTTTAATGACTTAATTTTTGAACAGCCACTACTTTTGAACTTCCAAAAGGTGTCGTTTCAAGTCCACGTGTGGAGCGGTGAAGGATTCTCGACGAGAAAAATCTGTACTTTAAACTAAAATTATTATTCAATTTGCTATCTTGAATGTGCAAAATGTGAGAGTTTCGACGACAAAAATAACAAACAAAATAAGGCAGTATACGAAGTTCAGTCCGGCCATCGCCGTCGCCTTCCCGGGGGCAGTTTATCTGTGAGCCGTAACCAGAGTCTTAATAAATTTTAATCCATCAAATTTGGGAGCAAATTTATCCGCCGAGGACGACGGATTCTCTCCTTCCTTCCCCTCCTGCATGTTCAAACTTCCCACATCTCAAAAAACAGCAAAAGAAAGACCAGAAATTTACGAAGAACAAACTGAGACTTGGGAATTTTTCGAAGAGGGAAATCGATGAATCTTTGACCAAGGCTTACCTGCCGAGGGAGCTGAACTTTTAGGTTGCAGAAAATGGTGGAGGAACTGGGGGAGGCAGACTCGGCGGCGGCGACGACGGAGGCGGCGATGAAACCCGATTTCTTCATATTGAAATGTGGAAGAAAGGTTGGGGAAGAAGAAAGGAAGGCAGTTTGGATGAAGCAGCGATGACATATATATACACACATAAATATATTATATGCGGAGAGTGGAATTTTTGTAATTCACAAATAATAGGCGCGGCAGTGGCCACCTGTTCCATGTGAGTAAATGACCTTCTTGCCCCTACAACCTTTTTATTGATTTTTTAATATCTTTTTATATGACGTAAACACCCTCGATTTCTTTTCACGCATTCACAAAACTTAGAATTAAATATAATTATCTTATTACGCGTGAGATAATTCCAATATAATTATTGTTCTTATTATTGTTTAATTTCCACATGAATTTTATGAATTGGGAATTATTATTATTATTATTACTGTTCAAGTGTGAATTGAGTATGAGCCATTTTTTTCCTTCATATTTTGATATTATTTTTAGTACCTTGGCATAAGTTGAGCTTTATATTGGATTAAATATTAAAAAAAGAAAATATGATCAATATCAAATTAGAATAATAATTTTAAAAAATAAAACTTTTGAGATGTGAGATTTTATACTTTAATTGGAATAATGGGAAAAACGAGAGTATCCATATAAAAGGAATAAAGGTATATGTTTATTTATTTTCAAATTAGTTCTTGCATGACATCAGACAATTTTAAAAAAATCGACTTTTTGCCAAAGTTTTGTATATTTATGTGTTGGTTCAATAATGTCGTTTTAATTTTTTTTAAAAAAAATTAAGGATATAAATGCAACTTTTAAAAGTTTAAGAGTATTTTTGTAACGAGGTATTAATAGTTTTCGTTCCTCACCAACCGGAAGAGTATTTTATTTAAAAGTTTAAAAAAACTAACGAAACTTTTGAAAATCAAAACTCTTGCCGAAACAAACTCTTTAAGATGCAGAGATTTTTTTAAAACAATATATAAAGCTAACACATTCATTACAATCTAGATTTAGGTACAACTAGAATGAAAAATCTATGTCCCATCTATCACTAGATCGACCCCGACCTCGACTTTGACCTCTCATTTCCTTACACATTGTGATACTAGCTGTTGCTCAATGATTGGTTTAGTGGTCAAATTACAATTTGGCTGCAAATATCTGCCCTCTCCACAACTTCATATCAAAAAGCCAGTGATCTTCCCATGCCCTATAAGCCAACCAAATCAGGAAATTAAAACCAAAACAAACTTTGCTATTCTTTTCTTAAATATCTTACAAATATTGGTGGGTGGGTTGTCGAGCAGTTGACCTATGAGATTAGTATATCACCTTAACTATTGGGAACCAGCCAGACATTCATGGTTATCCATAAAAAGAACAAAAACAATAAAAAAAACAAAGCTGAGTTACTTTTTATGGTCAAATAATATGCTGCAGGATATGCTTTTGTAGATGAAACCTCATAACAGATCAGCATCACACGAGAGAACTCAAGGGATTAGGTAATTGAGGAACCGAACATGAAAAACATGACAAAATTCAGTTTCAGCCTGGGTCCCAGAATTTAAGAACTTTCCTTGCCTACTCTTATTAGGAATAAACAATTGAATCGATCTATGAATGTTTCAGCAAAGAATGGACTCATCGTTCACAGTCCGTCTAGATCCATTGTTTGATATCTAGATTAAATAAATTGAGCTGATTCATAATCATCAATTTGGGTAGGATAAGATCAATCTGAACAGAGTAACTATTAGTTAATCAATAACACATATATTCACTTATATTCACTTGTCTTCCGGTAAACTTAAATGTAACAGTCCAAGCTTACGGCTAGCAGATATTGTCCTATTTGGAGTTTCCCTTTGGGGTTTTTCCTCGATTTAAAACGCGTCTGCTAGGGAGAGGTTTCCACACCCTTATAAATAATGTTTTGTTCTCCTCTCCAACCGACGCGAGATCTCACAATCCACCTCCCTTCGGGGCTAAGCATCCTTGTTGGCGCACCACCTAGTGTCAATCCCCTTTGGGGCTCAGCGTCCTCGTTGGCAGACCGCCCAGTATCCACTCCCCTTCGGGACGAAGCGTCCTTGTTGGCACACTGCCCTGTGCCTGGCTCTAATACCATTTGTAACAGCCCAAGCCCACCGCTAGCAGATATTGTCCTCTTTGGACTTTCCCTTCCGAGCTTCCCCTCAAGGATTTTAAACGTATCAGCTAGGGAGAGATTTCTACACCGTTATAAAGATTGCACTCCCCTCTCCAATTGATGTGGGATCTCACATCAATACTACCGATTAGTACTCCCATTTTAGTTCAAGAACGATCCATCAAACATATCCTATAAGGTATATATTCAAGAAGGTAACTATGATGTAGCTCTTGTGCTTTACTTGCACATATGAAGATTCTATAATACACATCAATTAATAAAGCACGAGTAATATTATGTTTACCTCGTTGAATAAACCTTTATCGACCCCTTACCGTGATTAGCCAACCATACTCTCTGAAAAAAAAATGCAGGAAAAAGACCAAACAAATTTATTAGCAGTCAACATCAGCACCTGATGGAATGGAATGAAAACTTGAGAATGTAGAGGTATGAAATAACAGGAAGGCAAATCTCAACTGAGAAAAAGAAAATAGAAAAGACCAATGGAAAGAAGACTTCATGTACTCAGCTGACGAACAAAGAAGGGAAGCATTTCAGTTATAAAAGCTAGAACATGCAACCAGCGCAGCAAAAAAAGTTCGTGCTAGTCCCTTCACATAAATCTTCAATAAGTTATTCATCCATCCAAGAGTTGAAGCCTGAAATCATTAGAAGTTGTAAATGTTCCATCACTGTGCGATATTGCAACTTCTCCTATGGTCTCCATCTAGTTTAGGCACTAAAAATGGCAACGTAACATCAATATCTTAGCTTAATTGAAAAAGTTCTCTCCTTGGAGTGTTGATCTAACCTAGATTGGCTTGCCTCCATACAGCCGATTCAACTCTCAAGTCTCACCTGGTTTTCTATATCTATCAGGATCTAATCACCTTAATATCAACTGACAGCACCGAGATAAATTATTCTACTCAGATTTCTTGAAAGTATGTAACAGCAAAGATATTGAAAGAGTAAAAGCATTACCTCGCTGAAAGAAATCTTGAAATTCAAGTTCCTCAAATTACTAGCTTTATCCAGTAAGTTTTCATCCTTTATATATCTTGGTTCTGGTATGGATTCTACCAAGAACATCAGACCATTTATTCATCCCCAACCCCATGGAAAGAGTAAAGGCATTAATTCGCCAAAAAAGAAGTTGAATTTCGTAGTAGAACGAGTAGTATCCTTGTCTAACCGTGCTTCAAATACAAATGAGACAGTGAGAAAGTAGCACATCAAGCTATTTATTCGTCCAAGTTGATAATGGTTAAAAAAAACTAATAATAACAAGGCAGGTTACAACTTTATGTAGAGGAAGATTGCAACTATTAAGACAATTTTTTTTTCCAGGCTTTGCAATCATGGAGACTCAATGGGCTTGATGGCACCATTGCTGAGGAGCCTCTGCACATACTTGCCAAGAATATCTACCTCCAAATTCACCAACTGCCCAACTTTCTTCAATGGAATGACAACGTTTTTTTGAGTATAAGCAACCAACATGAAGTTAAAAGCCTTCTCCTCATCAAAAACATCCACCACAGTCAAGCTAGTCCCATCTACTGCAATGAATCCTTTTGGTACAATGTACTTGAGCAAAGCCTCTGACGTCCTCACCTTTATCCACAGCGAATCCTCCTCAGGATCCATTGAGATTATCTCCCCAGTCCCATCTACATGCCCCTGCACAAAATGCCCACCCATTCGGCTGATTGGTTGAACCGCCCTCTCCAAATTCACAGGTGAACCAGCCGTGAGTTCCACCAACGAAGTTTTCCTAAGCGTTTCAGGCGCTAACCCCACCTTGAATTCCGACAGTTGGTGATCAAAAGCAGTCACAGTAAGACAAGTTCCGTTCACAGAAATGCTATCTCCAAGGTTTACACCTTCAAGAACAGTTTTGGCAGTAATCTTCAAATCAAATCCCCCATGTTCAGCAATACCCACTTGTTTGACATGGCCTATTTCTTCAACAATGCCAGTGAAAAGGCATTGAACCGAACTCCTCGGCCGAGGTTTGCAACGCAATTGGGGCTTACGGCAGGAGGTGAATTGAGTGAAAAGAGATCTATTCGTATTGAGTTCGAACTTGGGGCAAAATTGGGACGATGACGGACGAACATTGAGAATCGCATCCCTTGTGGGAGGAACCATTTTGGGGATATTGGATAGTGAAATCGCAGTAGAGAGCGAAGAAAACGTAGCCATTTCCTAAATTTCAATTCAACTACACATCAACCAAAGAAGAATTAAAAACCCTAAACCTCAAGCAAACTATATCCATTCAAAAACTGAACAAAATCAATCGAATGCAGAGCAGAAAGAAGATTAATGAATAACAAGAAAAGAACTCACTACAACGTGGATTGTCGTCGGAGAAGAAATGGATTACTTAAGTGTTCGTTGTTGAGGTTGTGGTTGCGCCTGAGCCATTGATGGTCCAAGTCAAGAAAAAGTGGACGAAAAATGTCCAGAAGCGAGAAACGGAATGCTAAATAGCTTAATAAATTAATTTATTTTTATTTTAAATCATCTTTGATTTTTTTTTTTTTGCAAAAATATATTTAAAATTAAATTATATATATATAATAAAGAAAATAATTTTTATTATCTAAAATCACTCAAATAATAATTAAACTATTACTTTTTTTCTTAAGTAGTTTACAAAAAAAATATATATATATATAATAATAATAATAATACTTAAAAAAAAAATATTTCAAACACACTTTCCCTTATGGGATTGATTTTGGAGACCTTAAATGTGATTACATGAAATTTTTTAAATTTTATATAAAAAAAAAAAATACTCCAATGGCCTTAAAATATAATTTAATACAATAAATAAATAAATACAAAATTTTGATAATCTTAATTAGGTTAGAGCTACTTAAAATATTTTGTAAATACTTATTTTATATAAAAAAAATCAGAATTTAATGAAAATATTAATTTAGTTTTTTATATTAATGTGGAATTTATGGATATGTTCGAAACATGGATCATGTAAATCAAAATTTAATGTTTTGTTTATGATATATTTTGTCTAATTATTTTCTATTTATGTTAACTTTTATTTTTCCAAGCTGGCGCAGACATGTCATAAGGTTGTCCACGTCAAATTCCTTAGCCAAAGCTGACGTTGGAACTCGCGCTACGTGTTCCAAAAGCTACGGTGTCTGTTTCCCTGTCTTTCATACTCTTCAATTACTTCATTTTGAATTTTGAAACACATGGCTGCCACGTCATATAACGCCTCCCATGAAATATCGATTTAAATTGAAATTAATAAAAATATTCTTAAAATTTATATTTTGTCTAAATAATATTTTTAAAAACTTTTAAAAAATTGAAAAAATATTTACAGAACTAATTATCATCATCAATTTATGGACGAAAATCGTCTATCCATGTCTTATTGATTTTATCTATGAATATTTTTAATGTTATTTTTAAAAATTTAGTATATTTTTTAAATGTATACTAACAGTAATTTTGAATTTAAAAATGAAATAAAATTTTGAGAATTTGAAATTGGTGTTATATGGGAATGTAAGCAACAGCAACGGCTTACTGTATATAACTATGTAGGATGAAAGTATGTAAAAGGGGTTTGGAACGAACATACAACTATGGACAACACGTCTTAGACAAGCAAGACCAGGATATTTGTCATGCAGCTATTGACAAAACGCCTTGGAGATGCATGATCGATCCTCCCTCACTCAATTGGTCGACGTCTCTGTCAATCGACTCGGACAAGTAAGACTAAGACATCTGTCATGCTTTAGGCAAGCATGATTGCGACATCCCCTGTCAACTGACATTGTGCTTTAATAAAAGTTAAAAAGTAGTTTTGAAAATTTTTTAATATCATAGGACAAATTAATAAAAATTAAATTTTTTGAAAAATCTTAAATTAAAAAAAAAAAAAGAAAGTATTTAAATCTTTCTTTTTATCCCACCGAATCGGTCACGTGCCACAGCTGGTGACCACCGAGTAGATGAGGGGCCTAACATAATTTGTATTTAAATTTTAATATTTCCACGGGAAAAGGATCGCCGTGGGTCCCACCATAAATATATTATTATTAATTAGAAACCTCAATATTAGGGAGAAAAAAAAAAGAAAAAAAGAAAGAAAAAAAAGTGCCCATTATCTTTGCTGTTTGCAGATGGACGCAACTTCAAACCAAACGGCTCCTTTAATCATCTTTCCTTCTCACTAAAAAAAGGCCTTTCCCACTTTCCAAATCTTCTGGCCAACCATCATTCGACACGTGGATATGTTTTTTTTTTTTAAATATTACTTTATACATTTTTTAAAGAAAGTTCCATTTAACCTACAATTCCCGAGAAAACGTTTGTCAACCAATAGCTTAAAAAGAAATATTACGTGTAGCATCTACCTTTACTAATAAAGTATGACTGAGTTCGAAATTGTGGTGTTGGTCGAGAGTGAGAATCAGTGGGTGCTCCTCTTTCGAATCTTATAACTATGTCATTCAGAATCGATATCATGTATGATATGATTCTGAGCTATTTTTAGAATGTTTTGCCATCTGATTAAATTATATATATATATATATATATAGAATTAGTCACGAGGGAACAAGCACAAATATCTCGTAGAGGGCAAAAAGACAGGGATCCATACCATATAAATATAAATTAAATTAAGCATGGTAAATTATTATTATTATTTGGTATAAAATAAATAGGTTTATCTGATTAAAAAAGGAAAAAAAAAAGTGGAATTAGAACACAAAATTAATGAAGACATATTAATTATTTTGAAAATTTAAATATACAACCTTTTTTGTTTGTTAATCAAAATATATAAAATTTTACAGCTGTAATTTAATAGTTTTTAAAATTTGGAAAAAGACACTAAATTTGGATATTTGGAAGGAAAATGAGTTCAGTACATGGGATGAACAAAACGGCAAGGCGCCAACCAGGACGCTTCTTCTCCTTCTGCTTCCGTCCGCCCTTTTGTCTCCATTTCTGAATGCGCCATTTGTCTTCTGTTCTTCTGCTTCTTCAGCTCTTTCTGTCTTCCAAAACACTCACCTGTTCGACGGAATCTGAAGCTATATCTTGTTTTTCTTGAATCTAGCCTTGATTTTTAATGTCATGAGTATTCGAAACCGCCCTCCGCCGCCGCGCCCTGGTTCGCCGGAAGAAAATGAACCTTTTAATATAATACCGATCCACAATCTCCTTGCCGACCATCCTTCGCTTCGGTTTCCGGAGGTGCGCGCTGCCACTGCTGCACTGCGGGCAGTTGGTGATCTCCGGAAGCCGCCGTATGTTAAATGGCACTCTCAGTTGGATATTCTCGATTGGCTTGCTCTCTTCTTTGGTTTTCAGAAGGATAACGTTCGGAACCAACGGGAGCATCTTGTGCTTCATTTGGCCAATGCTCAGATGCGCTTAATCCCTCCCCCTGATAATATCGACACTCTCGACGCCGGCGTTTTAGGGCGTTTCAGGAAGACGCTTTTGAAGAACTACACCAATTGGTGCTCATACCTGGGGAAGAAGTCCAACATTTGGATCTCGGATCGTCGTGAGCCGGATCAGCGCCGCGAATTGCTTTACGTTTCGTTGTACTTGCTCATATGGGGTGAGTCCGCTAATTTACGCTTTGCTCCTGAATGTATTTGTTATATCTTTCATCACATGGCCATGGAATTGAATAAGATTTTGGAGGATTATATTGATGAGAACACTGGACAGCCGATATTGCCCTCTGTATCAGGCGAAAACGCTTTCCTAAATTGTGTTGTTAAACCCATTTACGAGACCATAAAATCTGAGGTTGAGAGTAGCAAAAATGGTACTGCCCCGCATCGTGTATGGAGGAATTATGATGATATTAACGAATATTTTTGGAGTAAGAGGTGCTTTCAGAAACTCAAATGGCCCATTGATGTGGGTAGTAACTTTTTTGTGACTTCTAGCAAGAGTAGGCATGTGGGCAAGACTGGGTTTGTAGAGCAGAGGTCTTTCTGGAACTTGTTTCGAAGTTTTGATCGTTTATGGGTCATGTTAATTCTATTTCTCCAGGCAGCAATTATTGTCGCATGGGACGGTAGGCAGCCATGGTTTTCATTGAGGGAGCGAGATATCCAAATTAAGCTTTTCACTGTGTTTTTCACTTGGAGTGGCTTGAGGTTTGTCAAGTCATTGCTTGATGCATCGATGCAGTATAGCTTGGTTTCGAGAGAAACTTTGGGACCTGCAGTGAGAATGATAATGAAATCTATTGTTGCTGCTGCATGGACTGTTTTGTTCATAGTTTTTTATTGGAGGATTTGGTCGCAGAGGAGCCAAGATCGAGCTTGGTCTGCACAGGCTAACAAGGACATTGGCAATTTTCTTCTTGCAGCCGGTGTCTTTATTGCTCCAGAGGTTCTGGCATTGGCTCTTTTTATCCTTCCATGGATTAGGAACTTTATGGAAGAGACCAACTGGAGGATCTTTTATATGTTATCCTGGTGGTTTCAGAGCAGGACTTTTGTTGGACGTGGGCTGAGGGAAGGTCTAGTGGACAATATCAAGTACAGCATGTTCTGGATTCTGGTTCTTGCTTCAAAATTCAGCTTCAGTTATTTTCTGCAGATCAAGCCCATGATGGGGCCGACAAAAGCACTGTTGAAGTTGGGGGATGTGAGCTACGAGTGGCACCAGTTCTTTAGGGGGAGTAACAGATTCGCTGTCCTATTACTTTGGCTTCCTGTTCTCTTGATCTACCTCATGGATTTGCAGATTTGGTATTCAATCTACTCCTCACTTGTTGGAGCAGCTGTTGGGTTGTTTGACCACTTGGGTGAAATACGGAATATCCCACAATTGAGGCTCAGGTTCCAGTTCTTTGCCAGTGCCATTCAATTCAATCTAATGCCTCAAGAACAACTTCTGAATGCCAGGGGCACACTGAAGAGCAAGTTTAAAGATGCTATTCATCGGTTGAAGCTTAGATATGGGCTTGGCCACTCTTACAATAAGCTTGAATCTAATCAGGTTGAGGCAACTAAGTTTGCTATAATATGGAATGAGATAATAACTATTTTCAGGGAAGAAGATATTATCTCTGATCGTGAGGTTGAGCTATTGGAGCTGCCCCTGAATTCTTGGAGTATTAAAGTTGTTCGCTGGCCATGTTTCCTTCTTTGCAATGAGCTATTGCTTGCACTCAGTCAGGCCAAAGAATTAACAGATGCTACTGACAAATCGCTCTGGCATAAGATATGCAAGAATGAGTATAGACGTTGTGCAGTCATTGAAGCCTATGAATCCATCAAGCATTTGCTACTTCAGATTCTTAAGCAAAATACTGAAGAGAAATCAATCATGACAGTTTTGTTTCAAGAGATTGATCACTCTATCGAGATCGAGAAGTTCACAAAAACATTCAATATGAATGCATTGCCAGAGCTTCATACCAAGTTGATCAAACTGGCTGAACTATTGACCAAACCTAAGAAAGACACTACTGGAGTCGTGAACACTCTACAGGCCCTTTATGAAATTACCATACGAGACTTCTTCAAGGAGAAGAGAAGCGGTGATCAACTAATAATTGATGGATTAGCTCTTCGTAACTCAACTTCAACCACTGGACTTCTTTTTGAAAATGCTGTTAAGTTTCCTGATGTTGGTAATGAGAGCTTTTACCGCCAGGTTCGCCGTTTGCATACTATTCTTACCTCTCGAGACTCTATGCATAATATACCAATAAATCTCGAGGCAAGGCGTCGACTTGCTTTTTTCAGTAACTCCTTATTCATGAACATTCCTCATGCACCTCAAGTTGAGAAAATGATGGCTTTCAGTGTTCTGACCCCTTACTATAGCGAGGAAGTTTTATACAGCAAAGAACAGCTTCGTACCGAAAATGAAGATGGAATTTCGATTCTGTATTATCTGCAGACAATTTATGTTGATGAATGGAAAAATTTTCTGGAGCGAATGCGCCGAGAAGGGATGGGGAAAGACAGTGAAATTTGGACAACCAAGCTAAGAGATCTTAGGCTTTGGGCGTCATTCAGGGGTCAGACACTTACTCGAACTGTGAGAGGAATGATGTATTATTATCGAGCCCTCAAGATGCTAGCATATTTGGATTCTGCTTCTGAGATGGACATTAGGGAAGGATCACAAGAACTTGGTTCTATGAGACAAGAAGGTAGTATTGATAGTGTAGCTTCAGATAGATCAATTCAGACTAGGAGCTTAAGTAGAACAGGCAGTTCTGTAAGTTTTCTTTTTAAGGGCCATGAGTATGGGACTGCTTTGATGAAATATACTTACGTGGTTGCCTGTCAGATTTATGGGACCCAAAAGGCCAAAAAAGATCCGCATGCTGAGGAAATTTTATATTTGATGAAGAGCAACGAGGCCCTGCGAGTTGCCTATGTTGACGAGGTTTGTACCGGGAGAGAAGAGAAAGAGTACTACTCGGTTCTGGTAAAATATGATCATCAGCTAGAGAAGGAAGTGGAGATTTACAGGATAAAGTTGCCTGGTCCCTTGAAGCTTGGAGAGGGTAAGCCGGAGAATCAAAATCATGCTATTATCTTTACACGTGGTGATGCAGTCCAAACAATTGATATGAACCAAGACAACTATTTTGAGGAGGCACTCAAAATGAGAAATCTCTTGGAAGAATATAAGCGCAGTTATGGAATTAGGAAGCCAACTATCTTGGGAGTTAGAGAGCATATTTTTACTGGTTCCGTTTCATCACTTGCATGGTTTATGTCAGCTCAAGAAACTAGTTTTGTCACATTGGGTCAACGAGTTCTAGCTAACCCATTAAAGATTCGTATGCATTATGGTCATCCAGATATGTTTGATCGTTTTTGGTTCCTGACTCGAGGTGGAATCAGTAAAGCATCCAGAGTGATTAACATCAGTGAAGACATATTTGCTGGCTTTAACTGTACGCTGCGTGGAGGAAACGTTACGCACCATGAATACATCCAAGTAGGCAAGGGGAGGGATGTTGGATTCAATCAGGTTTCTATGTTTGAAGCCAAGGTTGCTAGTGGAAATGGGGAGCAAGTTCTTAGTAGAGATGTATACAGGTTGGGCCACAGGCTCGACTTCTTCCGTATGCTATCGTTCTTTTACAGTACTGTCGGATTCTTTTTCAACACGATGATGGTAACTTTAACTGTATATGTATTCTTATGGGGGCGACTGTATCTTGCTCTTAGTGGCATTGAAAATGAAATCGCAAGGGAATCTAACAATGGGGCACTTGCGACAATCTTGAACCAGCAGTTCATCATCCAACTTGGACTATTCACTGCACTACCTATGATAGTAGAAAATTCGCTTGAACATGGTTTCCTTCAATCAATCTGGGATTTTTTGACAATGCAACTCCAGCTTTCATCTATATTCTACACATTTTCAATGGGAACTCGTGCTCATTATTTCGGAAGAACAATTCTTCACGGTGGTGCGAAATATCGAGCTACAGGCCGTGGTTTTGTTGTGCAGCACAAGAGTTTTGCAGAAAACTATAGGCTTTATGCTCGTAGCCATTTCATTAAAGCAATCGAACTTGGTTTGATCCTTATTGTTTATGCATCACATAATGCAGTATCTTCTAACACATTTGTTTATATTGCTATGACCATCACGAGTTGGTTCCTTGTACTTTCATGGTTGATGGCTCCTTTTGTATTTAATCCTTCTGGTTTTGATTGGTTGAAGACTGTATATGACTTTGATGACTTCATGAACTGGATATGGTATCGTGGCAGCATATTTGCGAAAGCTGAACAGAGTTGGGAAAGATGGTGGTATGAAGAGCAGGATCATTTAAAGACAACTGGGTTTTGGGGAAAGTTGCTGGAGGTTATCTTAGACCTCAGATTCTTCTTTTTCCAGTATGGTGTTGTGTATCAGCTTGGAATTTCTGCTGGCAGTAAAAGTATTGCTGTTTACCTCTTGTCTTGGATATGCGTGTTTGTTGCCTTGGCAACCTATGTGGTTGTAGCATATGCTCGGAACAAATATGCTGCAAAAGATCACATCTACTATCGGCTTGTGCAATTCCTCATTATTATACTTGCCATAGTTGTCATAGTCGCCTTGCTAGAATTCACGGCATTCGAGTTCAGAGATATCTTCACCAGTTTGTTGGCGTTTCTTCCCACGGGATGGGGATTTCTGCTGATTGCCCAAGTACTCCGGCCCTTCCTCCATTCGACCATACTTTGGGACGTTGTTATCGCTGTGGCACGATTCTACGATATACTGTTCGGAGTGATCGTCATGGTTCCTGTGGCCGTGCTATCATGGTTACCTGGTTTTCAGTCAATGCAGACGAGGATCTTATTCAACGAAGCTTTCAGTAGAGGCCTTAGGATATTCCAGATTGTTACTGGAAAAAAATCCAAGGTTGATCAAGATTAAGGTAATTTCTTTATCTCCAATGTTTGCATACCAGTTGCCAATAGGTAACTGATGGTGAAAAGTTCCCGTTCATTTCAGGTTTAGAACGTCAGCAGCAGATGTAGAAAAATCGTCGTACGACTTAGTAGCCCGTGTTCGTCCTTTGCATCGTCCGAGGCAGATGCGAAAACTCTTCTACTTAAGATTATATTTGGTTAGTGTTTCAATTTTGTGTATGATCAAATTTTCATAGGTAAATTCGTTGGTTATTTTGGGGAAGTTCTCTGTATTATATCCTCCCACAGGGTACTCTGATGCAGAAGAATAGTTTGGAGTAGATTTGTCTGATCTGATGATTGCTTGAGTTATTTGAAATTCTTTGTTTCGCAATTGCTGTGATTTGTTGATGTAAAAATGAACACAATGCTTGTAGCTATCCACAGGCATTTCCTTATACTTCAACTTAATGAGATTTATATATTCATTTTTTGTAGTCAATTCTGACGTCTGCTGTAGTTAGAAGTCAATTCCTCGATGTTTTAAAATTTATCCACTAGGGAGAGTTTCCACATTCTTATAAGGAAAGTTTTGTTCCCCTCTCAAACCGATGTGGGATCTCACAGATGAAGTCGAGGGGGGGCACGACTTCAAGCTCCCGAGTCTCCAAAGCTAAATAGGGTTGCCAAGAAGCAAGACACTCACTTGATGTGCTAATAACTTCGGTAAAAAAAAATTGCACAAAGTAGGCACTGCAGCCATGGAGAGAACTTCAAAGGTAAAATAGATTATGACTCGTATATTTACTCAAAAACATTACAGCTTGTTGTTCATGTATTGGCTTGTATATTCGCTCAAAAACACTACAGCTTCCACCAGTTCATGTATAGTCTGGTTGAAACTCACTCCTATAGGTTAAACTAACTAATCTATTTCAAATATGTATCAACAGAAGAAACAAATGGCAGAGAGCCAAAATATAGCAGGAAGGGAACGAATTGAATTCTCTCAAATAAGATAATACTCAGATCACCATCTCTCAGCACACATTTTTCAATGCTTTTAACTGTTGGATGTCTCCACCAATCCTTGCCAACCTGCATGATTGCTCTATAATAAGCCGATATATCGACGATCTTTCCCACGGGACTATCCCGAAATCGTCGTTACTCTCTTCCATTCCTTCGACAAGGAACTGCCAGGCTAAAGAGCCAGCTCCCGATCGCTTCCTCTTGGCAGATTTGTAAATGACGTCGTAAACAGTTTTGTAAAATCTATCCCGCTGAGCTGGGGTGAAGCCTTTGTTCAGGTCTGACAGTCCAAATTCAGTAAACATGACTGGTTTCTTCAACTCTTTGTCACCATCTTCAATATGAGAGAGCATCCACTTGGATACAAATTTCAGTTCTTCTTCAAAATCTTGATCATGGAACCTAATCAACACGGAATGTTAATTTCGTCGTATAAGTAACGGGTTTAAGAGCATAGACATGAGGAGTACTATCATTCAATGCTTACCAATGGTCGGGGTAGATATGAACAGAGGCAAAATCTATGTGTGGGATCTCAGAATTGCGGATGAAATCAGAGCCAAGTCTGGATGCCCACTCTTCCGGGTTCACAGTAGATTTCTTGGGGCTATTTGGACCATAAAATCCTTCTAACCCAACAGTTAATAGATGCTTCTTGTCAATCGATTTAATGTAAGCTGACATTTCTTCAATCCACTCCTACAAGTTCAGTTTTCATTTGGTTTAACATTCAGAAGCCAGAAGAATCAGAATCTTACAACTATATTGAGGAGTATCAACTTACTTGAAGAGTATCGCCTGAGGCATCGGTCATACAACGTGGCTCGTTAATCAATTCCCATCCGAAGATGGTCGGATCGTTTCTATATTCAATTCCAGTGATGGAGTTCCTTCTTGTTAGGACAGTCTAGAACGAGTAAACACCATAAGGTAGCAATGTAAGAACAGCAAAGACACCATAACGTAGTGCTAGCAGAAATTCTTCTCGTGAGACTTTCTTTTTTTGGGCTTCCCCTCAAGGTTTAAAACACGTCTATTAGATAGAGGTTTTTACACCCTTATAAGAAATGCTCTGTTCCCCTCTCTAGTCGATGTGGGATCTCACAATCCACCCCCTTTGGGGGCACAGCATCCTCGCTAGCACACCGCTCAGTGTCTGGCTATGATAACATTTATAACAGCTCAAGCCCATCATTAGCGGATATTATCCTCTTTAGGTTTTTCCCTTCTGAGCTTTCCCTCAAAGTTTTAAAATGCGTCTGTTTGGGAGAGGTTTTCACACCCTTACAAGGAATGTTTCGTTCACTTCTCCAGCCGATGTGGGATCTCACACTCAAAATCCACCGCATAAATTCAGGATGAATACCCAAATCATCAACATTACGAACCATACAGGACAAACTAAGTGATAAATATGGAACGTACCTTAATATAATTCTTAAAATAAATGCGTATCGAGGGATCATAGAAGAAGGAATCATTGGAAGAGCTTAAACCAACACCATCTTGCCATGCCCACTTCACATACTGAGTCTTCCCACCGTATGCTTGCAAGTTGTTGACTAAGCTAAGGAGAAGCCTTATCCCATGTTGTCTTGATTCTGCAATGACATGATCCAAAGCCTGCCACCAGGAAAAACCAGTTAAAACTTCAGCTGATAACCGACAACTTGAGCAAATTGAAATTATCGTCAAACCAAACAAATCACCATAGAAAACATATATGCATATATTTTATTGTTCGTAGTTTGAATAATGTGTCATTTTAGAAACAAGAGAGCGAAAGACATTGTAATTACTGCTACCAAATATTGTCTTCTTTGAGCTTTCCCTAAGGTTTAAAAACGTATCTGTTAGGAGGAGATTTTCACACCCTTGTAAGAAGGGATGCTTCGTTCCCCTCTCCAACCGATGTGGGATCTCATCATCCACCCTTCTTAAGGGTCCAACGTCCTCGTTGACACACCACCTAGTGTCTGACTATACCATTTATAACAGCCCAAGCACACCGCTAGTAGATATTGTCCTCTTTGGTCTTTCCCTTCTGGGCTTTTTCCCTCGAGGTTTTAAAAAGTGTTAGGGAGAGGTTTCCACACCCTTATAAGAAATGTTTCGTTCCCCTCTCCAACCGACGTGAGATCCGTCCTTGAACTCCAGTCCTCAATTTATAAACTTAGAACTATATGATGAAGTAAACAAACACAACCACCTTGAGCTTTCATAGAAATATAAGTGATAATGTTTTTCAATCGGCTTATAGAACGTGAGAATTCAAATCATATTCACACGACACTTCTGTCGGTGGAAGCACCCAGCTTCCATTTTTTGGCCAATGGAGCCTTCCAACCCCTGCAGACACACTTCATCGCTCTCTAAAACAGACATTGACATAGAATTTCAGAGAAAGAAGCCAATCACATAGACAGAACCAAGGCACATGAGAGTAGGAATCAAACAAGGGCTCAACAAGTAAAGAACCCAATCACAGAAACAACAGGAATCTCTCAGAAAAATATAGCTCATCACAGCAACAAACGTTTCACTTACCTTAAAGACTTGCTCGTTAAACCTGCCGGGAAAAACCTGGAGGGCATTGTAGCCACCGTCGCTGAAGGCCCAAGTTCGGCAAACTGTAAGCCCCATCTTCCTCGCCGCCCGCAGCATCGCTCTGACTCTGGGCTTTCTGTATCCCTCAACGGCATGGTCCATAAACCAGTAAGAATTCCATCCATTGATATAAAACGCTCTCCCATTCACCATGAACTGCGTTCCATTCCTCTCTACAAAACCCATTTTGGGGGCTTTAGTATCCACAAGCTTCCAGTCCCCAAACGATATGTAAATGAAAGCCAAACAACATGCGAGTCCGAGAATCGGGTAAAAGAGCCCATTCCCCGCCATTATTTCCTCCTACGAACACAATATTGGCGGCGATGGAAACCCCAAAATACAAAACAAAACTCAACTGTTTATGGCAATATATCAAACAAAATCAAAGAATCGCTCATACCCAGATGCGATTTAAGAACACTAAACCACAAGGAACAAGAATGTCGGCTAAATTAGCCGATCTTATTGTAAACCCAGATCCCTATTTCTACCACAAATGTATGCCAACGATTCTTCGTGGAGTTGGAACGTGTTATGAATAGTAACACTCCCACTTCAAGCTGATTGCAATCTTGGGTTTTGGGGATTTATAAGAGAGAAGGAACAGAGAGGTTATGATTGAAGAAAACCCCACCAAAATTTGCAGCCCAAACAAGCAGTGAAGAAGAATTAATGAGTGATTAAGCAAAAGAAGTAAAAAGAGGTTGAAGGAGTATGGTAGAATGTTGGTATCTTTTGATGGTTTTCAGCCTTTTCAATCACGACCCAAGAACGCAATAGTCTTGTTCTTCAACCCACGTAAATGGGTTGCTTCCAAATCTTCCCCTCTTTCAATATACAGACAAAGATCACCTTACCACTGCAGTGGATCTCAAAAACCTGCTTCTGAATCACTCACATGCTCGAGTTTCTCCTTGTCTCCCACCATGATTTCCATTTTTTAAGCTATTTCATCTAAGAATCTTAGTCCTTATGCGTCAGAACAATAAGTAATCAAAACAATACAAATGGTTATAACAAATAGTACAGTCCACACAGATATGCGAGCATCGTAAGAAGTAAATAAATATGGAAAGATTTAAGCTATTTCCTCTTAAGAAACAACACCCTTTATTTATTAAATTCTTAAGCATTGTTAACTATGGTGAAACTAATGAAAGCGCAGCCCTCTTAAGAAGCGAAAAAGGGCACTGATTTTCATATTGATTACAAATCACCATGATTAATGCCGCCATTGTTGGTTCAGAAAGTAGATTAGTGAAAGCTGGCATTTGGTGATTAATGCAAAAGTAATATCTGAGTAATCAGATGATTTTGATTAAGAAATGGAGTAAAGTTCTTCCCCCTTTTGGGACTACTGAAATCTGAGACGTTTTGGCGTGTTGGGGTGGATTTGAGCTTATTAATTATCTTTTATAATTATTGGTGGACCTAGTCTAGGTCTGGCACAAGATTAATGAATTAAGACATTAAAGGCTCTATATTAGGTCTCACTATTTTTTTTTATAGACTAGATTAAGGTTAGGTGGGAGGTGGAGAAAGCTGGTTCGAGCATCCAAGTCTTCTATATGAATGGAATTATAATTCTACGCTTGCGTCATGACCTATACGTCAAGACGCGAAACTCTCAAGTAAATACGTTTTATTGAGTGAAATAAGTGTTTTCTTTGGTAAACATGTGAGAATGAGTGATTCGTGTGTGAGATCCCACGTTAAGGGTGTGAAAACCTCTCCCTAGTAGACACGTTTTAAAACCGCGAACTAACGACAATATGTAACAAGCTAAAGCAGATAATATCTGCTAGTGGTGGACTTGAACGGTTACAGATGGTATCAGCCAGAAACTGGGTGATGTGCTAGCAAGGACGCTGGCTTCAAGAGGGGTGGATTGTGAGATCCCATATTGGTTGGAGAGGGGAACGAATCATTTCTTATGAGGGTCTAGAAACTTCTCCCTAGTAGACGTGTTTTAAAACCGTGAAACTAATGTCGATACGTAACGGGCCAAAACGGACAATATCTACTAGTCGAGGCTTAGGCTATTACATTGGGTCTCTAGTCTAAAGTATATGTCTTAATTACGGTTGAGTTGTTCTCACGTTGGTGCCAAGTGAAATAGGCGTTTAGTTAACCAAATAGATCGGTATAAAACTACAAGCATTAACAGAAGACCATCAAGTATCACAATACAATCGAGAAGACCGTGCATCATCCAATACACTAAAAAGAATGTCTATGAAAGTCAAACTAAGGCATGAGCAAAGTTGGAGGTAACGATGAGACAAACTCGAAGAGAGCCCAACATGAGCCATAACTTCAAAAGTTGAAATTTCGAGTTTGCGCATGGAGCTTTCGGGTTTGGGAAACGTATTTATAAGGGAAGTGTTTACTGTTTAATAAGGAAAAAGACGGTGATTAATGGCGGCTTTGGAGAAGAAATGGTACTTTTAATTAGCTGAAAGTCACTGAAAATTGTGATTAAGAACAGAATTATGAGTGTGGGGTTAGCCGAAAGCCACTAAAACGACCTCTTTGAAAATCCGATACCCAATACTCCAATTGTTTCCTAACACCTTCTCCCTCAGCTCAATTCAACCAGACAGAACACTCCGCCTCTCAAATCGCCTGTAATTTTCTTCACATTAATGTCTCTTTTAATTTTTCTTGCCCCATTTCATAAGCTTTTCTATTTCGATTGTTTGACGTTTTGGAATTCTGCTTTACCCTTTCTAGACGCTCTTCTAGGTTTTGTTCTATTTTCTTCTTCCAGACGCTTTTCACGACTCATCTTCAAGGTTTTATTACCTTCTGCTGGTTTGAATGAGTCCATGATCCATTTATTCCACTGTTTATGATGTTGTGTCTGGTGGGTCAGATTCATTCTATCATCTGAGTTTATCCCTTTGATTTTTTTGCTTCCTCTTGAAAAAGTTTTATCCTAATCCGCTTACTTTTGTGGGTTTGAATGGTACGGGTGGGGACTGGTTGATGCGTTTGTTCTAGCTTCGTTCTTGAATAAGAACACTTGACATTGTCTTGAATTTTGTTTTGTTTTTTGAGTTTGGGATTGGGGTTTATGTAAGAACATAATCTTCATTGATTTGTGTTTAGTTTTTGCATAATGGGTTGCATCTGTTCTAAGGTTTTACCGGATGAGTGTAGTGAACATGAACATGATAGCTCCAATAGAGCATATTCCTCCAGAAAACACCTCTCTGAATTGAAAATATCAAGAGCTGGCTTTCCCAAATCAGAGAAGATTTGGGAAAAAGATAGACTAGATTGTAGCGATGTTTCGGTTATGTTGTTCGATACGAAGGCGAACGGTCCTCTGCGCTCGCACGGTGAGCTTCCCAATGAGAGGAAGAAGAAGGCAGACGTCCCTGATATCACCATTGTCACTCATCCATGTATGGGAAAGATTCCGAATGTTACCGAAGCCGAGCAGGTTGCTGCTGGTTGGCCGAGTTGGCTGGCTAAGATGGCTGGTGAGGCCATCAAAGGGTGGCTGCCCAAACATGCCAATAACTTCATCAAGTTAGAAAAGGCATGCTCTCTCTTTGAGCCTTGTAGCTTTATGCTCACTAATTTGCAGCTGATTAACCTATCTCATTCTTGCAGATTGGCCAGGGAACTTATAGCAGTGTGTATAAAGCTCGTGATATCATTCAGGATAAAGTTGTGGCCTTGAAACGGATCAGGTTTGACAATCAAGACGCCGAGAGTATCGCGTTCATGGCTAGGGAAATCCTTGTTTTGCGAAGGCTTGATCATCCAAATATAGTTAAGTTGGAAGGTTTGATCACATCACAAACATCATGTCACATGTACCTTGTTTTTGAATATATGGAACATGATCTTACAGGACTTGCATCTCGGCCTGGCACGTCGTTCACCGAACCACAGGTAGCATATATAGCTCATGAACATTAGTAATCCATACCTATATGTTATGTAACCAGTTTTATCCATATCTATTTCAGATGAAGTGTTACATGAAGCAACTTTTGAGCGGACTTGCTCACTGTCACAGTAATGGGGTTCTGCATAGAGACATAAAGGGCTCAAATCTTCTTATTGACAACAATGGTGTTTTGAAGATAGCAGATTTTGGGTTGGCTGTTTTCTATGATTCACAGTCGACGGTTCCCATGACGAGTCGTGTAATAACGCTCTGGTATCGACCACCGGAACTTTTACTTGGAGCATCTCAATATGGAGCTGAAGTTGACTTATGGAGTGCTGGTTGCATTCTAGGAGAGTTATATGCCGGCAAGCCTATCTTGCCAGGAAAAACAGAGGTACAATATAGCTTTAACTTGCTGAGGTCGTCTTCCTCCCTTCAAATATGAACCGTTTTGTAACAGTCCAAGCCCACTGCTACTAGATATTGTCCTTTGGGTTTTCCCTTCCAGGCTTCCCCTCAAAATTCTTAAAACACGTCTGCTCGGGAGAGGTTTCCACACCCTTATAAAGAATATCTCGTTTTCCTCCCCAACTGATGTGGGATCTCACGATCCACCCTCCTTCAGGGTCCAGCTTCCTCGATGACACTTATTCCCTTCTCCAGTCGATGTGGGACCCCCCAATCCCACCCCCTTTAGGGCCAGCGTCCTTGCTGGCACACCGCCTAGTGTCCACCCCCCTTCAGGGTTTAGCCTCCTTGCTGGCCCATTGTCCGATGTCTGGCTGTGATACCATTTGTAACAGACCAAGTCCACCATTATAAAGGTTTCCACACCCTTATAAAAAATACTTCGTTCTCCTTTCCAACTGATATGAGATCTCACGCGTTTAGATCGATCAAATGTGTCCTTCAATGTTTTTATTTGTCAAAACAACCAAGGTTGATGCATCCACGTTTCAGGTTGAACAACTACACAAAATATTCAAGCTATGTGGTTCCCCCTCCAAGGAATATTGGAGAAACTTGCATTTGAAGCATTCAACAAGCATGAAGCCTCCGCAGACGTACGAACGATGTCTTCGAGAAAGATATGACGACATTCCTCATGCTGCTATTGAGCTCATGGACAATTTGCTGTCTATAGATCCTGCAGAGCGAGGAACTGCAGCTTCCGCACTCGACAGCGAGGTACGTCACAACTCTTCTTCAAAAACCGATTAACCAACGAGATTCAATTCAGTTGGAACTGGTTCTCTAACAAGGGTTTTCTTTGAACAGTTCTTTAGCACAAGGCCCTTGCCATGCAATCCTTCAAGTTTGCCGAAGTACCCTCCTAGCAAAGAAATCAATTCAAAGCTGCGGGAAGAGGAAGCGAGAAGGTAAACATCATTGAGTTGCTTAAAGACCAAAGTTGGCTTCACTCTTTGCAGACTCTTAGTTCTACGTTTTACACAGGCAACGAGGAGTAGGTGGCGGGAGAAGCCGAGCAGTCGACGCCGAACTAAAAGGACTGAAGCAATCTCGGGTAGTTCCTACTGCAAAGGCTAACTCTGAGTTGGTTATTTCACTTCTGGTAAACTCTACATGAAGTTCTATAATCTAGCAGAAGATGTTATCTTGTCTCTTGATTCTCTAACCATCTTGGTTTTCGGATTATAGAGAAAACAAAGTTTTTTGAGCTCGAAGTACCGGAGCGAAAAGTGTTCTTACGGATTGGTATCGAAGAGAACCTCAAGTTCAGGACCTATAATAACTCAGAGACCAGGATTTACAAACTCGAAAACAGTACCGAAACACGTTTCAATGATTCCGAGGGAGTGTTTAACATCATCTGGGCCAATTGAGTTTGTTTCTTATAAACACGTCCGAGAAAGAAATGGAGTTTCAAGGCCAGAATCAATGAGCCAAGACAAAACTCTGATAGTTGGCTGAACTTCTCCGGGCACGACACGGTCGGGCTTCGAAGCTCTTTGGATTGATTATGGCATCGTCTAGAGTCGAAAGGGAATTAGTTGGTTCATTAGGCAATCATTGTAGATAGGAATAGAAGTTTAGGCACAGTTTTTATGTGCTGGCTTCCTACAAGAAAAGGGAAGAAAAAAGAAACATAGAAGCCAAGCCACCACCGGTTCTGTTCTTTGAGCTAATGTATATAAGTTGGGATTTGTATGTAATTAAGAGAAAATAAATCTGTCGCTAATGGGTTGATTCCAAATCCATCTCCAAAATTTCCTCAGATCTTTAGATCTTTTATTCGAGCGAGCCAGACACCCTTACAAATGGTATCAGAGTCAGACACC